CAATCACAACATGCATGGGTGCAAGTGTGTATGTGTGTGTATGTGTTTCCTAGACATTTCTAAGTATAGCTTTATTCTAAAGAAAGTATGGTGTAATTAGCAATGCTATTTTATCTTTAAAAATTGTATTGCTGAAAGCAGATTATCTCTGACTGCTTCTATCCCTAAATACTAGGTGCCTTCAAGCTTTGTAATTCTTCTGTTCTATTTCTAATTTTTTAGATCTTATGATGAGAGAAAGCATATTATTTAAGCTATATAATTTCTCTTTATTTCCCTAATGTAAATCCCATTATGAAATTGCTATGCTTTTGTTTCAATTTTTCAGTCCCTAAAATACCAGTGCGTGTTTATCATTATGTTTATTCTATATTGGCCATGAAACACAAGACAACTCTTAAATTCAATTCCAAATAAGCTTCTCTGAAGAGCGATCAAAAACTAAAAACAGTACTTTAAAAGTTAGTTGACATGGGTTCTCACAATAAAACTGGTAGAAATGAGTTAAAATGCTTGTTTTACAGTGTTATTGCTGGTGTTTCCTTATTCCCATAAAAAGTACACACATAACAAAAAACACCTGTCTAACAAATATAGGATTGTAAAAAAAAAAAAGTTTGGGTCTCTACACCTGAATATTTATATCATACAAATGAAGCATTCTGGCATTTCCAATTTTCTAACAGTCAAATCAATATACCCATGTATCTTACAGGCACGGAAAACATGGGGTCAAATCCTTTACATTCTACAATGCTGAAGATTCATGTGGAAAATCAATTACTTTGGCTTACTACAAAGTGTGTAAGTTGCTAGATATATCCTGGGGACAAGTATAAACCACAGCCAATTTCGCAGTGTGTGGTGCTTACGGCTTCTTTTAATGCTTGGCAGCACTGAAGACATTCCCATGATGCCTAGAAATGCAAGCGGTGTTCAGTCACAGAGCAGAAAAGAGGAACACAGAGACTTTGTAAAACTTCTTTTTAATGTTTAAGTGTGTGACGCTCTTCCTCCACTCTTCTTGTGGCTTTCACTCAAAATGAAAAGACGTATGTGCATTTTTTGCAGTAACTATCTGACATCAATTACAAATATAATTGCTCAGATTCTGTTTGTGCTTCTAAATGCATATTTATAACTCTTGAAATGAAGAAGTAACACCATGAAGGAAGGTTCCACATTTGGTGTTCAGATTTCTACAACTCTAAAAAGGGAATGGACCTTTGTAAGGTATTTCCAATAACAAACTAATGAACTCATCTCATTTCTTTGTTTTTTGGCTGGAATAATAATAAACCATAGTGGTAATGGCTTACCCCATACTGATTAGAAGCTCGAATTGTCATACATATCTTAGACAAAGACAAATGTAGACCTGAGTTGTTTATTTTTGAATAAGTAAAGTTTATTAGAGGATATAAGTCAAAATGACTACCCTTGAGAGGAAAAATAATAAAAGGGGTCTATAGTAGGCTGAAGGGTATCCTCCCCAAATTCATGTATACCTGGAACACCAGTGTGTGACCTTAATTAGAAATGGGGTTTTCACAGATAGAATTAATCATCTCCAGATGAAAGCATCTTGGATTTCAGATGGAGGCTGTATATCTAATGATCGGTGTCCTTGTTGGAACAGGAGAGAACACAGAATGCACAGAGAGGAAGATGATGCAGAAATGGAGCCAGAGACAGGAGCAAAGCATTTACAAGCCAAGCAACACCAGGGACTGCAGGCAGCGCCAGGAGTTAGGAGAGAGGCATGGAATGGAGCTTCCCCCAGAGCCTTCAAGAAGAACCAAACCCACCAATGCTTAGATTTCCGACACGTGGCCTGCTGAACTTTGACAATAAACATCTGTTGGTTTAAACAACCACATTTATGGTCGCTTGGGCACCCTAGCCTAACACAGAATCTTTGATGATAAAAAGGCTAATGCCCATGGCTCCCTTTATTTTTTCCAATGATTTTACCTCACGCAGAAAGGAACGTCCTAAATTTTTGTGTATTTAGGGAGTCAGAATTTTGTTGATGATACAGAATGGAATGTGTTGAATTCCACTGGCCAAAATAACTCCTGAATGCCAAGCAGTGAACACCAGCATGTTCTGTTGACCATGAGGTTACTACCTCTTCATTTATTTTCCAGACCACAAGCTGTTCAGCTAGTGCTGACTTAGTTTTAGTGGGAGGAAATCTTCCATTTGTTGTCACCAAATGATGTTGTACAGGAAGAGGGTCTCTACGTTTTACATTTCACTTTACATGTGTAATTAAAAATACATATTGTGTTGTCACAAAGGCAAGAAACATTCGCCATTCATATTTTGCTACCTAGGTTGTTCCAGGTATTTTATATATGATTGCATATCTTTGTAAATAGAGACATGTGCTAACACTGAGTTAGAACTGAGATATTTATTTTAAATATCTAACATGCAATTTAATATTTTTGCACTACATTATTTTCAATAGATGTCTAGAATGCCACGGTACAACTGTGTCTGAATTGCCCAGGAAACTGCCTGTAGTTGGAAATTTAGTTTTTTAAAAAAAATCATTTGCAGTTAAATTAATATTGTAATGAATGCTTCTAGTTAAAAAAACTTTTAAAAAAATGCAATTACTTCCTAGGAAACTCTCAGAGAATTTGGAAAGCTAGGTCATATCTTTATGAAAAAAAATGTATATATGCACACATACATACACATGTATATGCATCTGTATATCACACATGTCTACACATTGCTTTCCAAGCATGTTCTAGAAGTTGTCTGTTCCACAAACATTATGTGAGATTTCACACTTCTCATATGCTTTTTAGACTAGGGCGCCATCATTTATTTTTATCTTTAGTACTTCAATCAAAAGAAAACGCTAACTCATTTTTGTTTTAATTTGCATGTCTATATTTACTAATGAGATTGAGCATTTTATCAACTTTATTGGCTGTTTACAGTTCTGTGAATTTAATATCCAATTCTTAGTTTTTCTATTGGAATACTTATCCTTTAATTCATTTATAACAAAAAGTTAATTTTATGTTTTTAGTCTCTTTCGTTTTAGGAGCAAAAGCAATGATGGTAAAGTTTCAGGGTTTAGAGTCTCCCTATCTGTATAAAAAAACAAGGCTTGGGTTAAATTAGCCTCAAGGTCTCTTCTAGTCTATTATTAAATCTAGAAATTATACTGAAAAATTTTCTGAAAGTTTTTTTAATTTTGATGATTTCTCTCAAAGTAACCAATATGTTATATTAAGTATCCTAATAAATTAGCATGTAAACCGCACTTTAATTATTTTTACCTTCTTCTCATTATTTCACCAGGGAACAAAAAGAAAACAGGATCCTGGCTTTTTAAAAACTTTAAAAATGGAGTTGGTAGAACGTCACAACTTTCTCTTAGCATACTTGACACCATGCCTGCCCAGGAGATTGAGTCGAGGTTTAAGTCACGCAGTGTGGTTTTTGACAATCTACTTTGGGAGCACTCTGATCATTATGTTAAAATTCTATAGGTGTAAAAGACAAAAAAAAATCCTGAGGGCCAAAACCCAGGTTACTTTCAAGTCTCTTATTATAACCTAAACAAGAAGCTTACAATGTGTGTGTGCGTGTGCGTGTGTGTGTGTGTGTGTGTGTGTGTGTGTGTGTGCATGCATGTGATGATTTCAAATGGAAATTTACTGAATATCTTGTGTAGAGAAAAGGGATACACTAATTACCTCCTTTTTCCATGTGCATTGCTAGTCTCCTTCATTCATTGGTTTTAAGTCACACACTTTATAGCATGTATATTGTCTTTCCCCAGTATATGTACCACTTCACCTCTTCATATCTGCCATGAACCACTCTACTGGCTTTGCATCCCTAGAGTAGCTCAGGTTATTCCCAGGTCTATAAAGCCCTAAGCACTGCTGCTACCCTAAGCCAAGCCACCACTGCATTAATACAGCCTGACAAGGAGAAACTTCCATGTCTGCTCCCTCTTCAGAAGCTCTGGTTTCATGGATGACTGTCTGGAAGTGCAGAGTGGTCAGCAACTTGCTGGTGGACTCTGACCAATGATAGACAAGGGGGGACTCTGCCTATGGTTCCTATCTAGTCATGGATTGTGAGACAGTGGTTCATGTGGCTTCTCACGAGACATGCAGGCAAACTAGCAAGCTTTGTGGTCGTTCCAACGTTGTGACTGTCACAGCTCAAATCATGTAAACCACGACCTGATTTCTCTTCTTCTCTGGTCTGCTTTCCTTGTTCCCTCACTTTTGATCCGCTGAGTTTACACCTCCAGGGCATTGCCTTGAAAGACTTACCTCAGTCAGGTTTCTAGGAGCCTGGACTGATAGGCACTAATGGTTGTAATAGTTAAAGCGTGCATTATAAGATAAGATGCATTAAAGTTCGTAATATTAAACGTTGTGATAATTAAAGGAAATATATTATTCATTTTATAAAATAAAAAAAATCATATTTTTTGCATGGAAACTGGGTCCAGTTTTCATAGAGAAGTTTGACTTACTAGGAACTATCAATATTGCTACAAACGTGAATTTACTTTTGTATTTGTGGAAGGTAGAATAATATCTCTCTTTGATCCCAATCTACCTTCTTCTTCACTTTCTACCCCATCCTCAACCCTAGAGTTTGGGAGAGGGGGATCAACATAACTTATTTTTAACCATTGTAATAGATGACTAAAATAAAAGTTATTAAAGCATGAAAAGTTATTAGATCACAGGAGTGTTGTTGAATCAGCAATGCTGAGCAACTAATATGAATACAAATTCTGTGATTCATTTATTAAGAAGATTCAGAGCAAAATATATCATGAAAACATAACAGAGAATATAAAGTTAAAAAAGAAAAGGCTATTCTTGCTCCACCCAATAAATGTCATCTGCCAGGGAAAAGAAAGGCAATGTTCCTTTGACATGAGAGTATATTTTATTCATTTAATTCATCAAAAACTTTGCAGTCTACACCTTGTGAACACTGACCTGTGAACAGGTACCAGAGGTTATTTGGTTCCAGCGTCTCCATCTCACCCCTGCGGGTCGTCTTTCTATGTCGAATTTTATAGCCGGTAATAAATCCATTTTGTGTTCCTGATGGAGGGGGTAGCCAGCTTACTTTGATACTCTGTAAAATAATAAATGCAAATTAAAACATCAGAGGAAAAAAAGGACAACAGGACAGGGTCAAAGAAGTGACCCAAACGCAAGTGTGAAGAAAGCAGAGAAGCGAAAAGTGTTCGTGATTGCCACTTAGAGACAAATTAAATGCATTGTTACAATCTGATAGCATTCTTATTTGTCTGATTTTAACACAAATACATAATTCATTTGATTGACTGAACGCATTATCGCCTCTCGTTTGCACGCGCCACTAAAATGACAGTAAAATATTCTAAATGGTGTAAACCCATGAAAGGAGAATAAGACTATATTGGAGAAGAGACATCAGCTGATACTTGGAAGGTGCAAACTGGAGGGAGCCCTGGTGACTGAGCCCTGGTGACCCTAGGAAAAAGCTGAAGCCTGAATGTCTTCCGAAGCGATGTTAATTAAAAACAAGACAATGAAGCGCATTAAAACGTTTAGGGTACCTGGACACTGCTTCTTCCTACGTAACTCGGATGGTAGGACTGAAGGGTGGGGCTGAAGCAGGGGACGGACACAGTAAAATTCGTCTACTAGTCCTCCCTGCCCTCGAAACAGCTAGCGGAACTTTCCTTTAGGGATATTGAGCACAGAGGCCCAAGTTTTAGAGATGCTAAGCACAGAGAGCAGGGATGAGGGCGAGAACTAATAAGTCAAAGATGTGAGATACCCATGTCTTCTCTCTTCATCTGATACCCAGAACAATGGCTACCAGCTATATCCTTCCCAGGAAGAGTATCCGACAATCCCCTAGAGAAAATTAATGACTTTTGCCTCGATAAAGTAACCATTGTATCCGAGACGGATTCCCCCACAGTGAGACTACCACTTAAGCCCCACTCGTGTGCTAAAATTTGCAGTTTGAAGTCAGCTTTTTACTACTTCATTTTAATGTAAACTGACAATTTAAGACTACCAGGCATCAAAGAATTACCCTTAGCGTAAAAGAAAGTGAAAAAGTATCACGTAAGAAGATAATGTCACCCGAAGGAAACAGCAGCAATGCATAGAACAAGATCCAGAAAGATGTCGCCATAAGGCAAGAAAACATACTGCAACCACGAACAGGATAAAAATACAAGAACATTGAAAGAAAAAAATGGTCACAAATATAATTTGCACAAATCGAATGTTAAATAGATAAGTTGGAAGAGACAGTAAAATAAATATCTCAAAATTCAGTGCGAAAAATGTAGTAAGAGGAAATTGGAAAGAAAGGATACGAAATTGGAGGTTTATTTCACAATTTCCAACACCCAAATGAAAAGCTGAAAAAATTAAAAAATTAGAAAAACATGATAAAATGACCCCATATCCCAATAAAACCTGCACAACTGGAATACTTGAGACTTCAGTCTGAGAAGGATTGTGTGGAATGTTTCATAAAATAAATGAAAAGGCACATTACTGAAAAATGACGTCAGATTTCTAAACATTTAAAGTTAAGAAGCAGCCGGGCTCAGTGGCTCAGCCTGCTAACCTTGGGAGGCTGAGGTGAGTGGATTACCTGAGCCTGCGGGTTTGAGACCTGCCTGGGCAACTTGGTGAGACCTCATCTCTACAATAAATCAAAAAATTAGTCAGGTGTGGGAGCGCACGCCTGTAGCTCCAGCTACTTGGAAGGCTGAGGCAGAAGGATCGCCGGAGCCCAGCAGGTTGAGGCTGCGGTGACCGGGAGCGGCCACTGTACTCCAGTCTGGGCGACAGAGTGAGACTCCAACTCAAAAAAATAAATAAATAAAATAAAATAAAATAAAAAATAAAGTTAAGAAGCATACAGTAATACTGACAAAATGATACCTAAAATTCTACATCTAGCCAAATAAATAATCAAGGATAAGGATAGAATATTACAAGTATAAGAATATATACTTGTCTAGGTATATTTGGCTATTTCAGATATACACTGCTTCAAGGATGTCCATCTGTGTTCCTATTATCAAAAGGCTGACGAAAGGTGTGCTCCAGGAAAAGAGAGAACAAACAGATAAAAATATTTGAAATCCAAGAAATCTGCAAAGCGATGAGAAACCAGACTCAAAATCGTACATACTGTTTAAATCTGTTTATATGAAGTTCAAGGATGGACAAAACTAACCTATAGGAAAAAGCAGTCAGAATAGTCCATGGCAGTTGCTCTGGGAGGTTAAATGAAATGATAGCAGACTTTTGGGGGCGATGGAAATCTTCTGCATATTGATTTATGTTTGTTACACTAGTGGATACAATTGCCAAAACACATTGTTATGGACTAATAGTGCCCACCAAGACTCATGTGTTGAAGCTGTACCAACCAGTGTCTCAAAATGTGAGCTCATTTGGAAATAAGTCTCTTAAGAAGGTAATTAAGTTTAAATGAGATCGTTTGCGTAGGCCTTAATTCAATATAATTGCTGGCCTAAAAGGAAGAGAATATTAGAACACCGATACACACAGGGCAAAACCATGTGAAGGCACTAGAAGATGCCATCTCAAAGCCAACGAAGGAGGCCATCGAAGAAACCGTACTTGCAACCACCTCTATCTTAAACTTCCAGTATTTGAAATGGAGAAGGCCATGTCTGTTGTTGAAGCCACCCAGTCTGTAGCATTTGTTATGGAAGCCTTAGAAAACGAACCCTGAGCTGCTGTGGAACCCGACAGTTCAGATCTGTACATTTCACTTTATTTTAACTATACTTCAATCGAAGAAGGAGGAAGATGAGAAGGACCAGTAGCAAGAAGAGAAAAGGAAGAAAACTGGGGAAGAGAAGTGAGGACGGAAGTGTGTCAACATAAAATCCTGACATAAAAATAAACCAGTCGATGATATCTAAGACTGGTGAATCAAGAAACACCTATATGAGTGCATTGTTGGACAACAGGGGAAAAGGTCAGAAAAATAATAACAGCTAAATGTGATCAATATGGCAGTCTAGAGAGCAGGAACAAGGTTGGCAGGGGTGAGAAAGGAACTAATGGTTTTTATGACATATCTGTTAGTACTATTTGATTTAAAAATAAGGTACATATAATAGCTTGATAAACATTTAAGTTAATTTAAAAAATAAACACATGAATTTATTCTTTGGAGGGGGTAGAAACAAATGATTGGTTGTTACAAAGAATCCAGACCCAAGTCAAAGAATGAGTTGAGAGTCTCGTGCATGGGCCAGGGCACCAAGGCCTCTCCGACTTGGTTTCAGTCATGTGGCAGGGAGGCAGAGCAGAGAAATACTCTTTAGGGAGGCAGAAATCTGCTATCCTTCTTCCAGAACTCCTAAAAATTAGCTGGTACTCTAAATTGTTTGGAAAAGCAGAACAACTATCATGTAAAATCACACTTACTCACTAAGCACTTTCTGTTACATTCTATAAAATTGCCCACCACACTGAATTTGAGAATTCTGAAATAGTGCTCCCAGAGAAAATATAGGCCTAGTGTTTTTTGTTTGTTTGTTTGCTTTGAGTTTCTGGCTGCAACATTTTTGTCAACTGATGGATACATAACCTTTTTTATGTGTGTTTCTGTCTAAAGATAACTTGTTTAATATTGCAGTATTGCCAGTTCACTAACATTGAACTTTAATTCCTGAAATAAGCACATCACAGACTTTTTGCTCTTAGGAACACTGAACAGCACTTCAGCACTATACTCTAAGACCATTTTCAACAGCAAAATCACCAACCAAAAAAGTGTAAAAACACACAAAAAATCATGGCACCAAGTAGATCGCAGAAAGGGCAAAGCATGAAGACGGAGCATCTTCTTGTTCAACTCAGCTGGAAATGTGCACATCTGGCAACCCAAATTTTTCACTGCTCTGTGCATAACCACAAAATCACCATTGGTATTGATTCGGGGTTGCAAATAAATTTTACCAGGTAGGCAAATTTGCAAATACAAAAATCTGCATATAATGATGAATTGTAATTTTATAACGAATGTGTTGCAATAATTTCAGAGAAACCTAGTTACATAGACTTGCCCTGATTATGTAAGTTGTTAGAATACATTTAAAATATTATGGCACTGCTGAGGTCATTTAATTTGCCTCCACTATTTTTTTTTGAGGTACAGTTTTTTTAAACATATTTTTAATTTTAAAATTGTGGGGTACAGTTAAGGGTTAGTTATACAATATGCATTGTGCAGGTACCCTCGTTGATGAGGTGTGATCCCCAGTCCCCAGACAGATATTGACTACTGTTAATGCCACCTCCCTTCCCCTCCCTGCCCTCCCATAGTTTCCCACCACTGTCAATCCTTTTCTTATAGTGTTAGGATAGATGTTCAAGGTCCACTATATGAGTGAGAACATGTGATACTCAGATCTTTGTTTCTGTGAGAGGTCACTCAGTATTATAAACTCCAATTCCATACAGGTTGCTGCAAAATTCATGATTTTGTTCTTTTTTTATGGCTGCTAATATTTCATTGTGTATATGTACCACATTTTAAAAATCCAGTCCTCTTTTGATGGACAGTATGGTTGGTTCCATGATCTTGCTATTGTGAACAATGCTGCGATAAACATACATGTGTAGGTATCTTTTTTTTACAGTGATTTGAGTTCTTCAGGGTATATTCCCAGTAGGGGGATTGTGGGGTCATATGGAAGGTCGATTTTTAGAGCTTTTAGGAATCGCCACACTGATTTCCACAGAAGCAGCACTAGATAGACAAGTGGGACCCCATAAAACTGCAAGCTTCTGCAAAGCCAAAGAAACTATAAAGAGAGCAGGGAGATAGCCCACAGACTGGGAAAAAGTTTTTGCCAAATCCAGGTCTGACAAAGGCCTAACATCTTGGATCTACAAGGAACTCAAACGTGCTGAAAAGAAAAAAACAAACAACCCCATTACAAAGTGGGCAAAAGATATGAACAGGCAGTTCTCAAAAGACATCCTAGCGGCCAACAGATACATGAAGAAATGTTCAACCTCACTAATCATCAAGGAGATGCAAATTAAAACTACACTGAGATACCACCTAACTCC